AAAGCAAGCCACCATAGGCAACTTACAAGCATCACCCCAGGAATTAAACTTAGAAAAGAGAGAAAAGAAAATGAGAAGACACTCAAAATGCAAAATGCAACCCCAGACATCCAGTTCGCCAAGGGCGAAGTGGGGCAATCTGAAAGCCTCCACCAGGTCTCTCTGAAGTGGTAACAACAAAGCAACTGAATGAGGCTCTGGAAAAAATGAAATCAGAAATAATCTCTCAGATAACTATGGAGTTTATCAAAATATACACCATGCTTAGCAACATTAGAGCAGACATAGACAAAAAAATACATGAGCTTAATCAAATTACGGAAGTAAAGCACAGGAAAAAAAATGGAACCCATAAAGCAAATTCAAGCAGACATCCAGGATAATAAACACTCCACTGAGAGTATTCAAAGAAGATTAGGTCAATGTGAGGACAGAATCTCAGGTATTGAAAACAGGCTTGCAGTTAGCAATCAGGAAAAGAAAGATTTCTCAAAACTTGCAAGGGATCATGAGAAATCAATCCAGCTTCTAGATGAGACAAAGAAGAATAATTTAAGATTAATTGGAGAGTCAGTAATCTCAGCATTTGGGAGGCTGAGGCAGGAGGATCATTCCAAGTTTGAGACCAGCCTTGTCTACAAAGTGAGTTCAAGGCCAGTCTGAACTGCATAGTGAGAGCCTGTCTCAAAAAAAAAACAAATAAACAAAAAAGATTAATTGTAGCCAATGAACAAGCAGGAGATACCACAAATGACATTAAAAAAAATGTTCACAGACATCATGACAGAAAACTTTGCTGGTAGAGAAAAAGAATTTGACATATAGATAAATGAGGCATGTAGAACTCCAATTGGCAATGATCTTTCTCACAGATAATATTCTTAGCTATGAATCTATGTTGTCTGGTATTAATGGCATTAAAGACTTTGATTAGGCTTAGCATAGTAAATCTTTCCTTTTTCTACACTGAACCTTTTTATATTTAAAGTGAGTTTCTTACAGCAGCCTATTATGATGGTCTTGGTTTTTAATGCAATCTGATGAGTCCTACTTCTTTAACTGGGGTATTTAGAACATTTACATGTAATATGATAATTAATGTAATTGAATTAAATCTACCATATTACTATTTGTTTTCTATTTGTTCCCTTTGTTGTTGACTCCTTTTTTGCATATTTGTTCTGCTTTCTTTTGGATAAGCAGAATATTTTTATGATTCAATTTTATCAATTCAGTTGGTTTCTTAACTCTATTTTTTAGGTTAGCTCCTGGCACAGAATTACTAATACATTACAAACCTCATAGAACATTGCTACTTTGCTTTAAACATTTTTATTTTTAAAGTGATTTTTAAAATACGAAAAAATGATTTTTATTTCCCCAAGTAATGATCTTTATTTCTTCTGTAGATCCACACTCTCATCTGATATTTTCTTTCTACTAAAGGAATTTGTTAACATCTCTTATATTCAGGTATTTTGGAGATGAATTATTTCCTCTTTGGTATATCTAAACACATCTTTGCTTTTCCTTCATTTAAAAATTATTTTTGCTGCATATGAAATTCTAGGTTAATTTTTTTAAGCCATTTTAAAGATACTTCCCTCTTACTTGTGTGGTTTTTGTTTGTTTGTGTGTGTGTGTGTTTTAGAAATCTGACAGTAGCCTCATATTTTTCCTTTGGATATAATATGTTTTAAAATTTATTTTCTGGCTACTTTTACAATTTTTTAACCTAGTTTTCAGTAATTTGATTATAATGAGATCTTGTGTCATTTTCTGAATGTTTTTTAAGGCAAGGAATGGAGAAGCCTCCACACTGTGAGACACAGTGATGTGACTTAGAGGCAGGAGGTAGACTGTGATAACTTGATGTGCTTGCACTTTATTGGACTTCTTGGGTCCATGGCTTTATAGTTTTCATCAAATTTAGAAAATTTTCAACCATTATTTTACCTTCAATGTCTATTCTCTCTCTCCTCTCTCTCTCCAAATAATCACTCTCTCTATGTAGAGAGAAAATATACTCTCTCTCTCTCTCTCTCTCTCTCTCTATATATATATATATATATATATATATATATATATTTCCCAAAGCTCACTAATTCATTTTTCTTTTTTTCCTCTGCATTTTTGTTTCCTTTTGGATAGTTTCTATCAGTGTATCTTTAACTTTTCTAGTCTTTTTGAGTTCTTTTGCTATCTTCTATGTCAGAATTTAACCTATGGAATCTTATTCAAGATTCTAAAATCTTCAACATGTGAAATACAGCTATGTTCACAACTTTAATTGCTCTGTCCATCAAGCTTATCATCTATGTCATTTCTGGGTCAATTCCAATGACTGAATTTTCTTCCCTAATGGGCTGAATTTCCCTGTTCTTTTGCATACCCATTAATTTTGTTATAGAAAGCAGACATTGTAAATTTTTATCTTGTTGGATGTTTTTTTCTTTTTGTATTTGTGAGTATAGTTTTAAGCTTTTCTTCTGGGAAAGTTAAGTTACATGAAATCAGTTTGATTTTTGCTCGTAAGCATTTATAGGGGACCAGAATATTTACCTTGTAACTGAGGCCACAACCTGGTAAATACTCTCTATCACTTAGAGGTATTCTACTCTAGTTCTTGAGAATAGAAACTGCTTTCAGCCCTGTGTGGGCTCCTGGAATCATTCCCACTAATCCTTTTAGCTGACTTGTTGCTGGCCTCCAGCATTCACACACATGCACAAGTTCATCACATCTCAGGGCTGCCCTTGCTTGGACATGCTGTTTCTCTCTTGGGCCCTCTCCAGGTCTCTTTTCAATGATACCTTGCCCTGTGACCTCTTGGTTTATTTTAATGTATTTGAACTGCTAAACAGAATACCTGAGATGGTGTCATTTTTGAAGAACAGAAATTATTTCTCATTTCTGAAAGTGGGGGCATCCATGGTGAAGATATTAGCAGGTTCAGTGCCTGATGGAATTCCACTCTCTGCTTCCAGGATGGTGCCTTGAACACTACAAGCCCTGGAAGGGAGAAATGCTGTGTATTGACACAGCAAAAAAGCAGCAGACCCCAGGGCGGACTCCCTCCATCAAGCCCCTTACACCTGCCTTCATCCATTCAGGAAGGCACAGCCCTCACGACCTAAAGCGTCTCCAGAGGTCCCACTTCCCAACATGACTGCACGGGGGCTTAAGTTTTAACATTCATTTCTGGAGAGAACAAATCATTCAAGCCATGACACCCTCCCGGACACATCCCCCAGCTCAGGGAACCACTGTGTTCCACCTGGGCTGCCTCTCCCGTGCCTGGGCCTGAGCTCTTTGACAGCCAGCCAAGGCCATTACTGAACCTGTCTTTTTGTTTCTGTTTCTTGGAGCTCACCCTCATTTGTTGCTTGCCGTCCAATGGCTTCGAACTTGTGGGGAGATATATATACCAGATTTTTGCTTGGAAAAGAGGATAAACTTGTTTTCTGTGTCTCTACCTTGGCCAGAAGTTGAAGTCAATGAATGATCTGTTAGTTTAGATAGTTTAAGCCTAAAAATAATCCATTTTACTGCCCAAAGTCAGGAATTAGAAGAGATGAGGTTGGAAACTGGGTTCTTCTGACTTAAAAGCCAGCGCCAAGCCCTTTGTCCTCACTGTGTGCTGGAACGCACGCTCTACCCCACGTGGCTTGGAGACTTCCTTGTCTTTGTGTCCTCCACGGTTGGCAGAGGCCTGACCGTGGGAGATGATGAGGGGATTTTGTTGAACAAATGACTTCTCTCCTTCTGTTTGCCCTCTTACTATTTCCTGCCTCCTCGAATCCACAGCCGTCTATTAAGTGGGAGGAATGTTAACAGCGCACAGGTGGGATTTAAATTAGGCAGCTGTTACCTGTGCGATGACGCCTCTGCTCCCACAGGGGTGAGGAGTGTGTGTGGAGAGAAGCCGTGATACAGCCAGTTCATTAAAGAGGAAAAGGGCTGGTTAATCACACAGACACAGTCTTGGAGGATTTTGTGTTTTTAAAATGAGTGCTCTGAGGTTTTGGAAGGGGACATCCTACTTCAGTAATCATCAAAGAAATTCAAATTAACAAATAAAATATTAGCATAATTAAGAAACAATAACATGGAACGTTAATGAGAATACAGGGAAAACATGTTGTCATCCTCTACTGGTGGCATTACACATCGGTTTAATTTTTCAGGAGGGTCATTTAGTAAAATTTATCAAAAGCCTGAAATACGGTCATACGATTTTTCCCAGTGATTTTGCCTTTAGCATATTCTGTCCTTAAGAACTATGCAGACAGATGCACAGTGATCTACCACGATAATACCCAGCACAGCCCTGCTGAGTCCAAGATCCGGGACCAGATAAATGCAAAACAGGAAGGACAACCCTGCTGCCTTTAAAAGCAAATACTCAGAAGAATAATGACATGAAACATGTTTGTGAGAATTCCTAAGAAATCTCAGTTCTAAAATTATATGTATATTTATTATAATTAATACTTCCCTTGTGCCTTATTAATTTAACTAGCTCATGTAGTCCTTACCACACGCTGATGAGGCAGGTACGGTCTGGTGGCTGCCGCAGCTGCAGCGTGGAAAGGCAGACTGACCTCCCAGCTGGCAGGGCCATGACTGGATTCTAGCTCTAATGCTTACCCCAGGAGTTCAGTGACCCCACATCACTTGTTCAAAATCCCAGGTCTTCTGATCAGGCGCTGGGGCACAGCTTAGACCCAGAGATACGTTTGGGCAAACCTGCCAGGTGGGTGATATTCAGTGGTAAAAAGCACTGTGCAGTGCAAGTCCATCTTTTCTTGAAATTTTGTTGAAAAAAAGTGTATATGGAAAATCTCTGACAGATGCATTGTTAAACTATTAATACTGTCCTTCTTTGCTAGATGATAGTATGTGTGTGTGTGATACACAATAAATTTACATGTCTAGGATAAAAGTATGTTTTTGATAAAAAGGAGATGAAGAGGAAAAATAGGAGAAGGTAGAGGAGATGGGAAAGGAAGAAGGAACTGTTTTAATACTCAATGAAAAGATGGGTACATCATGGGGAAGTGCACACAGAAACGGCTCTTCTAAATCCTTTAGAAACTCAAGTAATCCTTGTCAAGTCATGCGGATTCCCAGGGGTCTTGTGGCAATGCAGATTGTGAGTCAGGTGGTCCAAGTAGCTCACATTCTGCATTTCTAACCAGCTCTGCTGATGATGCTTTGAGAAATGAGCGACCAGAAGATTTAAACTGTCAAGAATGCAAGTTCTATGAGGGAAAGAACTTTTTCTGACCTAGGACAGAGAAGAACAAAGAACAGTTACCAGATGAATGAACAGAAATGCTACTGGGGATCCTGCTGGGGACCCACGACACAGGCTTCTGCTCTTAGTTCCTGGCACTGCCTTTGGCAAGCCGTGGCCTCCCTGTGATGACACCTGTCACTGGGCAGGGTGACAGCTCTGGGCAGCCCTTTTCCATGGCTGGATATATATGATCTGCTTATCCCAGGCCAGGCTTGCTCACAATTTGAGCTCTGTGTAAAACAAAAAGGACCAGAAACTGACAATAGCAGCCAGGCTGAGTTCTAAGAAGCCCAAGGAGAGAAGTTAGAAATGGAGAAATACCTTAGTCGAATTTCCGTAGGAACATTAACTCATCCACATTGGCTTCGTGCTGTACTTGGATTACAGGTTAGACTCGGAAGCCTGAAATAAATTATATACTCCTTGTATTATTCAGCCCTATGCTGTATAATAATAAATTATACCCAAGTTATAACAAATTATACCACAGCGTATAATTACCCTGCACTGTACCATATAATAATAAATTAGACAGTTACAAACCTAAGTTGAGATTCCGGAAACAGGAGAGCGCACAGGGCTTGTGATCCTCTTCTCTGATCAGATCCTTGTCAGGCAGGAAGGAGCGGGAGAGGGCTGGTGCTGTCTCCTGGCTTCCCTCTGCTTTCCTGTTTGCTTGGCCCTTTCTTTGGCTCTGGGACAGACTTGGTCATGGTGATCGGGCTGACTTGGAGCTCAGTCCTCAGCGGCCCCCAGCCTGCATGTGCACTGAGAATAAAGCACTCTGTAATAATGTCACTGAACAAGGTGCTGCCTGCCACTCACTCAAATGGATGGATTTTACAAAAAGAGTTTGTTCATGATGCTGCCAAGTATGAAGAGATGGAGGGCCAAGCTTTGAATCTGTCTCCCCAGTGACAAGGACCGGGACAGCTACTGAGTGAGGCCGGGGGTTGGAGTTTGGATGAGGCGGGGAGTGGGTTACCTTAGAGGGTTTCTTCAGGTTGCCCTTTGTTTCCAGGAAGAGCTGCTGAAGGGTAGAAGTAACAGCGCCACAAGATCCAGAGTCTCTGCGACTGTGAATCAGCGCTGTGCTCTCTGCTTGGGCCCTGCCGGTGGGCGTCACATCTCCATTCAGTAGCCGAAATGAGCACGGCTTCACTGCCTTGGTCAAGGTCACACACGAGAAAAGGCAGGATGAGATTAAAACCCGGGACTAGGACAGTTACAGTCCTCTGAGGACGTATTCACAGCCACCAGCCTGGAAAGCCAAAATCACTCATAACGAAGGACACCTCTGACAAACCCTGGGAGCCTTGGGCTGCAGACTGAAGTACTGGCTCCTGGCACTGCCAGCCTTTCCTGTTGTGTCAGAGCAGACTCTGGAGGCCGCCTTTCCCTACTTCCTTCTTTCCTTCCCTCCTTCCTTCCTTCCCCATAGCTCCTTGGCAGCATGTTTTAGGCATTGCCATAATTACTTTCAAAGTTTTGACTTTCTATCTTCTCTCAGCAGCCTTCCCAAGGTGGTCCTTTTCTTATGCCCATCTTACAGGTGAGAAGCCTGAGGCACAGTGGAGTAGCAACTGGTTCAAAGTTATACAGCTAGTATACAGCAGAGCTCGGATCTGAATTTGAGCAAGTCTAATTGACAAATTCCATTTGACCATTATCCTGGTAGTTAAAACAAAACAAGTCCACTTACTTTTAAAGTCCAAATATATTTAGGTAGGTGTACAATGAGGGGTCCTTGGAGACTGAATCCCAGAGAGCAGATTCTGCCTTTACCTCACATCCACTCAGCCGTGTGCCACTGGACCACTTCTTATTTACCTATGAACCTTTCTTCTCTCTGTTCTTTTGCCTTAGAAGCATATTAAACACACACCAGTTGTGATAACATTGTAATCACTGTGTTCAGGGAGCCCAAAGGGATGAAAAAGTGAACCAGTGCCTGTTCACGTGTAGTGGTCAAGCAAGACTTCTGGGAGGAAGTGGCATTGTGACAAGACGGATGAACAGGAATTTACACGGCGTACAAGGCAAGGTGATGAAGGCAGAGCCTAGGGTGAGAAGAGGTCATCTTTGGGGACCATTAAGTCCTTGAAGGTGGCTGTCAGAGCTGGGTGGGAGGCCAGTTGGGCCTCAGATGGTGGACCAGGGCTCTGTCCTGGTGCTGAGATCACCAGGATGTGTGGAGTATGGAAGGGCCTTGCTGGGAGCGGAGGTAGGGCTACCAGACAAAATGTAGAATGCCCACGCCAATGAAGTTTGGGTTTCAGATAAACAAGCAATTTCTTTGTAGAAGCATATCGCAAATACTGCATGATCTGTCCTGAAAAAGGATCACTAATTTTGTGACACTCACGTCATTGAGTGTCCTGTGTTTCCATTTGTTTAATCTGTCAAATCCAGGTGGAGGGCAGCAAGCTACTTCCCAAATAAAACCAAACGTCTGGCACAGACAGGGAAGTAGAGGCAGTGTGACCTGGAGTAAGGGGGTCACTGTGGCTCTGGGACTTCATGCTCCATGGGGATCAGCCAATGCCTGTGTGGTGGTCTCTGCCCCTGGTGTGGAACCTGGTGATGGGACCAGCTGGACGAGGGTCAGTTGCAGCACAAAGCTACTGTGGACAAGTGGAAAAGCACAGGGGATCCGTCTGTCACCGACTCGGAGTGCTGCCTGGTGGGTTACAGAGCCTGCCACCTGCCTCACACAGCGTCTTGAGCACCTGGCCCAGGACCAGGAGAAGCTGGAGGAGGAGGGTTGGGTGTAGGAGCGGAGGGTGAGGGTTGCCCCTACAGTTGCGGTGAAAGCAGCCACACCAGTCTCCAGAGCGCGTATTGTGACTACATCTTCACCCTGCCTTCCAAATCTGCAGCTGAGTGTGGTATGTGGCCAGTGTCAACTCGGAGTTGTAAGGGGGACGAGTTCTGTAGTTCAGTAGTAGCTTTGCTAGGTTGACCAGTCCTGGGCCCGTGGGAGTTGCTCATAATCCCATTTTGCTCTTAATCAGCTCTGTAACCTAAATTATAAGTAGTAGTTATTTGTGATGTGTCAGTTTCCTTACCTGTAAAATGGGGGCAAAAGTCTTACCTTCTTAGAGAAGATATAAAGAGCCAATGAGCCCAGTCTGGCTGTTAACACCTTCTCGAATTTTTTTTTTTGTCTTTTTCATTTTTTATTGGTACCAGGGATCGAACTCACGACTGCCTGCTTGCAAGGCAGGCACATATGCCGCTGAGCTAAATCCCCAGCCCCAGTTAACACCTTCTCAACAGTTAATTAATAATCATTACTATTTGTATCAAGGACATCACTATTCATTTATTAGGTTATGGAAAAAAGCTCCTTGTTTTACAAGCTATATAGTAAACCTTTCTTATCCACAGTTTTGCTTTCCGTAGTTTTAGTTACCTGAGGTCAACTGTGGTCTTAAAATATTAATATTTGTTTTGACTCTTTTAAGAGAGACACTATATTCATATAACTTTTATTATAGTACATTTCTATCATTGCTCTATTTCTTTACTAGTTCTTGGTGTTTATCTCTTCCTGGGCCTAATTTATAAATTAAGCTATATCAGAGATACGGATGAACAGGTAAAAAGCCCAAGTAGAGTTTCGGACTATCCATAAGTTAAGGCATCCACTGAAGGTCTTGGAACTCATATCTCACAGACAAGGACAGATGACTTTATTAAGGAGCAATGTGTTGCAAAAGCCTTTCTGGATTAAGTAACCCGAGAGGTCAGTCTTGGGAAAACAGCATAAGCCATCTCCAAAAGCATAAATGCCAGCGTTAGCATGCGATGTCTGGTGTGCTAGTTGTGAAGCTCTGCCGTCTAGCCACTCTTCTCCCTTCCTCCAAATAAAAGATACGAATAAGCTCTAAGTGAGGGAAAGCAATAAAATTATGCTTCAGCACCTTAGCGGATTCAGTGGTTGCTGATTAAAAGAAAATACTTCCTTTAAAAAGGGCGCATATGAAAAGGAAGCCCTGGCTGCGTGTGAGCTGGTGTGAGATGAAAGCAGGAGGCCTGCAGCCAGCAGGGTGGACACAGCTCGGGCTGTGGACAGGAAGGGAGGTGGGCAGATGTGGCCGGAGGGGCGGAAGCTGAGGACTTGGAGGACAGCACCCCGGGAAGGAGTTTGCAGGGGCCCTTAACATTGTGACTACGCTGGTTTCCACTGTGGCCTCAGCGCAGGGCTTCGTTTTCAGGGCTGAACAGAAAGCTAAGCAAGTCTCTGGGGGGCTGGAAGAATAGGGATAAATTGGTCACTTTGGGGTGCTGGAAGCTTCTCTTTCACTCCCTCTGGAAAAGAAGGCACCGGGGCAGTCATTGTAACTGTGGAGCTGGTTCTGAGGGTTCCTCCTAAGGATCTGTAATTCTAGCTGGCAACGGGAAAGCCAAATGCACCGGAGATGGTGGGCTTCTGCCAGGCACAGAGGCTGGGTGTTCCTAGGAGCTTGGAGGGCGGGGGAAGCCAGAAAGGGAACTGGAGCCCGGGAGAGCAGGGCGGGGGCAGAATGTAAGAAACATGATCATCTGGAAATGATCAAAAACATTCACTCTGACCCAAGCACTCACTTGTGGGAATTTCTATGTGGTGATGTTTATAACGAAATTGCTTCCAAATAGTGGAGAAATGGAAACAGCCCGAATCTTTCTCAATAGGGAGTTGGTTAATTAAATTATTATGGGGACATCTGTCAGCAGGAATCCTTTCTCCTTTTTCAGAGACTCCTTCTCCTGCAAGCTGGTCCTGTAGGTTCTATGCTCTAACCTGGAGGCTGCTTCCGTGGTCCCTGCGTCCATCACCTCTTGCATGGCTTCTGTGACTCCAGACCTGCCTGTCTCCCTGGTTCCCATTCAGACTGCCAGTCCATTCTTGCCTCCAGGAGTGTGCTTCTCTCTGCGGATAAAATCCAATCCCCTGCCCTGCACCTCCCATCTCATGTCCACAGGCCTCGCCTCATGGGGCCTGGCCTGCCTCAGCAGCTTCCTCTCAAACTACTCATCCTCTTCCTCTCCCAGCATCGTCCCACCCCCAGGCCTTGGCCGTCGCTGCCCCTCCCCTGGGCCCTTTCTACCCAATCTCTTCCCTCGCCCTGTCTCTTCTGGGGGCTGTGTGAAGGTCCTCTGTCCACACTGCTTCCCCCTCCCAGCCCATACCTCTCCATCACTTTGCCCATCTTATTTTCTTCATAGCATTCATCACAAGGTGACGTGGTCTTATTTATTATTTAACTTTCTTAATTCTCTCTCCTACTTGCAGAGAGCAAAGGACCTGACGGGGTGCCTGGCACCCAGAAGCTGCCCACCCCCCGTGTCTGTGAGTAACAGAGTGGGGGTTAGAGCGCTGTGAAGCTGTCTGAAACACAAGGTCTTACGTGCAAAGGTTCCCCGGGAATACACAGTATATATGAGCCATAAATAAATACAGTCCATGCAATTGGCAAGGCTAACAGTTTTGAGGGCTTACAACCATCTGGGCCCAGTTCTAACTACTTTTACATTTATTTTGTTTCAGCTGACCTTTACAATAATTCCCTGGTGTTGGTACGATCTTTGGCACCATTCATTGACAGAGGAAATTGACAAAGAGAGGCAAGAAATTCACACAGCTAAGAAGTGGAGGATTCAGGAAGTTTGAAGGGTCCAAAAATATTCTTTAAATGAAGTGGAGAGGCTGTCTTGTGGAGACTGAGGAGGCTGTGATGTCCCTGGTGGGGTACAGATGGCAAGTCTACTCCTACAGCTTGAGTGACCTGGGCAGGCCACGTCCTTCTCTGTGTTCCCCTGGGAATGGGGTTGGGGGTGGGGGGTGTGCGGTGGCTGCTGGAGAACACACCCAGCTGTGTGCCAGAAGCACCAGAAAGCTGCTACCCAAGGATGCAAATGTCGGGGATGCAAATGTTGAAACTCGCCCATCCTGAAGCCATGTCCCAGTCCCTGAGCCAGGGCCACACAGGGCTCCACATGGCCTGACTCAAAACAAGTGTCTTTCATGGGGGCCCGGTGCTCCCAGCTGCCACCATGCTGCCACTCCCACGCTCAGGAATGTGACTCCCAGGGCTGCCTGTGAAGGGAATGTGCAGGGGTCATTTTTGAAATAGCTGAGTGCCGGGTTCTTGGTGCCAGGTGCAGGGCAGTGACTTCAAAGGGTCTTTGCAGCAGCCTGTGAAAGACGAGCTCTGCCACTAGCCCTTCATCAGCAGAACTCACGGCTTGGAAGGGAAATCAAGTCAAGGGCAGGTGGCTCAGGAATTTGGTGCTCACAGGGTGGCAGCTCATCTTGCAAATCTGAGCAGAGATGTGATGTGGGCGAGTCTCCGCCTGCGTTCCCTTAGCCTTGCCTTCTGGAAGGCCCCTGCCACTGGCCGCGGTGCACATTTCTCCTGATTACTTGGGATCCCGTTCCTTCCAGACAAAGGCTTGGATTTGTCTGTTGCTGTTTGTGTGTACTCATGTGGTGTCTGACCTACAGGAGACTTCGAGTAGCTATTTCTCTGCCGAATGATGCATTTTCATTTTTCCTGGTTTTATCACCTTGGAAAGGCTCAGAGATTGTCTTGCCCTGGTGCTCATCAGTTAGGTGATTTTGGACTTTGCTATGAAAGCTTAGGTGCAAGGGGGACCCATGCTCTTCCAACATCTTTACTAGGCCTCAGTTTCCTCCTGTGGCAAATGGGCTCTCATGCTTGCATAATCAATTGGCATGAAGGATAAATGGCCCAACACATGGAAAGTGCTTACAAGAAAATTGGCACCCAGTCAGGCCCAGATAAATATTAACTCACTGTTGTATTATTGCCCAGGAGGGGCTCTAATTCAAAACCCTCCTGCCTCAGGCTCCCAGAGTGCTGCAGTTACACCCCTACACCACCACACCAGGCTCACTATTTCTTTTAAAATAAATTGTAAAAATAAAAGGTACAATTTACAAATAATATAATGCACCCCAGTTAAATGTGCAGTCTGATGAGTTCTGATCAACAAATACCCATATTGAAACATGGCTTCATTCAGGATAGAGAACATGGCCACCTCCCAGAAGTTCCTTGTGTGCTTCCTGGCACTTTATAGATGGTTTTGTGATTTTAAATGCACCATTTAGCTCTGTTTCTTCAGTTTAGCACTGTGGTTTCTGAGACTCATGCATCCTGTTGCATATGTGTTCATTTCTTTTTATTGCCACAAGTTGCAGCATTAAGCAATTATTTTCCCAGGCTCAGTTTCCTCATCTACAACATGAGGTTAATAACTTCCGCCTCACAGAATGTGGGGAAGAGCAAATGACCCCATGAGCAATGCTGCTGTGACACCAGCATGCATGCCCCACGTAGGACTGCTCTCTGTCTTAGAGAGGGCCCCACCAGTGCCAGGCAGCCCCCAGCCCAGTGAGTCAAGGTCACTGAGGAGCCAGTGGGGGAGAAGGCAGCGAGGCCGTGTGCAGCCGTGGAGGAATGGCTGTGTTTATAGAGCAGATTGTTATTTTTTAATTCTTCCCTGTGTGTCCTTTCCCCTACTTCCCTCTTTTAAAGATAATTA